TTATCCGTCTATTTTAGCTTTTTATTTTTGTGTTTTATTAACCTGTCCCTTTGTAAAGCGGCTTTAAGTGTCCAAAAAGCGCTGTATAAGTACCATGTGATATTATTACTATTATTCATTTGCCTTTTCTTATGAAAGATTTCCTTCTCATTAATCCATTCATTCATTTGATCTAATTCTATCGCACAGTAATCTGAAGCCGTATCATGGCCGTACTCAAGACAATTCTCACCACTTATAGGAATGGACATTAGGATCACTTTTCCTGGTTTTATTTTGATATTGGTTCTTTTCAGTGTTTCTGCCTGTTCTGTTGAATGCCCCGCCCTCATGTGGTTCACCTGTGTGTGTGTGTGTGTGTGTGCGTGTGTGTGTGTCTCTGTGTTAAACCCTGTGCTTCCCGTGTTGTTGGTCCATTGTGTTTTTGTCCAGGTTTGAGTTTGGCGTAACCCTGGATTTTGTTATCTCTGAATTTTTGTGTATTAAATCTTATATTTTTGGAAGTCCTGCATTTTGGGTCCTTCTTCTGTTTTTGCCACGTGACACTTTACCAAGTAGATTTTAAAATCCAGATATATTTCACATCCATAAAGATACAGTTTTAGAGAGAAAGTCTTTATCTTGCCTCAAGCAGTTCGTGTTAAGTTCTGTGGTTTCACCCGTTCCAAATATATAATATAGATAGTATTTGTCACATTTCCAGGAAGTAGAGCACGGAGCTGATGGCATTATAGCAGGGATAAAAACAGTTTACAACCAATTCCATTTTTATTTACATTTCTAATTACATTCAAAAGTCATTGAAGGAGTTTTGTTTATTTCATGATTGCTCGGTAACACCCCTCACACGCTGTCATCAATCACAACCAGGAAGTACAATGATGACGACTACAAATATGGTCAAACTGAGATGAAATTTGTTAAATATTTATCATAATATTGTATGTATCAATGTTAACTGTGTTTTGTGAAAAGTTAAGTCACAATTTGCTCTTTACCAAGTCGTTTTTTGACAAGCTAGATATACTTTAGTGCCATACTAATACAGTTTCACCCCTTTTTGAGCAAAAACTTTCTAATATTATCTGCCAAAAATGAAACACATTAAAGATTGTAACTTGAACACATTTTCAAAACAGAATTATGTTGTTATTTGCAATTTTTATTTTTATTTTCTTTCAATTCTTCATTAACTCATTGACTGCCATTGACGTATTTATCTGAGATTTCTGCCAAACTTCACTCTATTCGACTGGGGATTTCAGGACAATTAAAATAGCTAGAAAAAACTTTTTTTTTCTGATGAAAGTAGACATTCTAGTTTTTCAGAATCTGGTTTGATATTTCACACAGTCATAGAATATTCTGTGGGTCTTGAGAATCAGGGAAATCATCCAAAACAGCTGGCAGTAGATGAGTTGTCCACAAGTCGAAATGTAAAAGTTTTTCTCCCAACCCCATTACAAAAGTAAATGATCCCAACTGCTCACAACTAAAAGCATTTTTTCAACGGTTTGATTCTCTGATCTGTGTTGGCGAAGTTGACAATTTGGTAAAGTTTTGTTAATTGTGACTGTTTGGTGTCGGTATCGGCCACCTGTGAAGACAACGCACATTGACGACTATAATTGAAGCGCAGAGAAAGCCTGATTGTGCGTATATATTGATTGTGTTGTAATTATACGCCCTGGAGCTCGTTCAGGCCGGGTCAGAGAGTTTTCTGTGGCGGACGGCTCTTGGAAACAGGAGTTGCATAAGCGTGGGCCTTAGGTAAATATGCTGCATTGTGCTTTGGCGAACACACTCACAGACACACACACACACACACACACACACACACACACACACTGCAATGAAAGGGCAGATTGTGATGTGATTTAGGTCAAGTCGTCAAAAGGCTGCGGGGCTAATGAGCAGCCATCTGTCATTGGTCGGGTTATTGACACTGGTTTGTGTTTCCACTGCACAATTCAGCCTGAGTCGACCTGTTCATCAGGTGTGACCCGGGGACCATTGCTCATCAGGGCCTATTGTGGACGCACACCTTAAAGAGCTACGCACACCTGCATTTTTATTTTATTTTTTAAGCAGCGGTAAGTCTAAGGAACTTTCTGGAGATGTGAAATATTTTGCATGATTTCAAAGCCATAAGAGAAGTTGCGGATTCCATTTTGAAAAAGGTTTTATAGAGCACTTTTCAATAACTCAAGGACGCTTCACAATTCAAGACACACACACACACACATATTCAGACAGACACACAAAACTAAAAAAACTAAAAGCAGGTAAGAAGAGCGCAGAGCTGAAGGGCGTATTCTCGGAGGAAGAGGTGAGTTTTTAATAGTTTTTTGAGTTTAGTGAGTCCGAGTTGTAAGTCACACAATGAAAAATAAAAGCAAATCAAAAATATTTCCATGGAAGAAAAAAAAAGAGGTGGCCCAAGCAAAAGTCATAATCAGACTAATTAATTTGCCCTTTGCAGTAAAACCCAATTGGAATACATCCGCAAAAGTTCTCAGTGTGCAAAAGACAATACATAAATAAATAAGGGCTAAAAGTACAGATTCAAGTCCACACACAGTAAAAGTTACACACAGGGGCTTTAGATCCAACGGAAGAGTTTTCTCAGTGTTCCTGCAGCGTGGGCCGTTAGAGGCGGCTCATGTGCTGAAAGAAAGTCTATATCTTTGAATGGGAAAGATAAGCCACGAGCCGACTGTGTTATGTACTGTCTGTGGTTGACTCTAAAATATAAATGATAGTTTTACACCAATAAAGCCACAGTTTGTCAAGAAGATGTGGAAATATTTTTACCTTTCCAGGAAGTAGAGCAGAGAGCTGATGACATCACAGTAGGATTACAAATGAGAACTTGTATGCTAGGTAAGACCCCTAGCATGTTGTCATCAATCGCAACCAGGAAGTAAAGGGAAAGGAAGTAAACCAGGAAGTCAAAGAAAAGGAAAAGGAAGTAAACCAAGAAGTAAATTTGAAATGACTAGAACTATGGTCGGCACTAGATCATTTACGGAATCGGGACGGAAGTGGAAGTAGATATAACCAACTACCTAAACTAATAGATCCATGCCTAAACTTAACCAGCCATTCCCATAGAATAACTCCGAACCACCCTTATGTCATGGTGTGGATTTTGTTATTTTGGACTTTAGCTTTATTTTGATATGTGTTCTCTGTGCTTTGGTTTTAGTTTGACTTTGACGTCCTGTTTCCCCTGTGTTGATTGTCTGCCCCGCCCTGATGTGTTTCACCTGTGTCTGTGTCTTACCCTGTGCTCCTCTCCTCTTGTTGCTGGTCCATTGTGTTGTCAACTTCTGTTCCGTCCTGTTCCTGGTTCTGTGTTTTGGATTTTGAGTTTTGTTTTCACCTGGACATTTATTTTATTAAATTAAATTATTTTTTGCATTCCTGCATTTTGGGTCCTCATTTCATCACGTGACACCTTAACCCTCACCTTAACCATCTTACTCAGACACCTACACTACCGTTCAAAAGTTTGGGGTCATCCAAGTGTTTTCCATGAAAAGTCACACTTATTCACCACCATACGTTGTGAAATGAATAGAAAATAGAGTCAAGACATTGACAAGGTTAGAAATAATGATTTGTATTTGAAATAAGATTTGTTTTCCATCCAACTTTGCTTTGGTCAAAGAATCCTCCATTTGCATCAATTACAACATTGCACCAAAAACCAGACATTTGCAGCTAGAATAGTCACTTACAACATAAGCAACGTATAGAGTGTGTTTCTTTACAGTTAAGACTAGTTTAAAGTTATCTACAGCTTTTCCTTCAAAAATAAGGACATTTCAATGTGACCCCAAACTTTTGAACAGTAGTGCAAAACTTAACCCGATTCTGTATATGAAATAGTGCCGACCCGAAAACTATATAAAATGTATGAATGTTTTGTTGAGTCTAAAGACACGTATACACACTTTAAGCTGCATGTCCGACACATATGGCCTATTATTTATTCATCATCTCGTAATAATGATGAAACAAGTGGCTTTTAACAGCATCCTTTCCTTCTGGCCGGAGTGATTTCAATTAGAGTGATGTAATATTGTAAGCAGCACAAATCTATTTACCTCTGAAAAGGGCATTCTTCGCTGATGAGCAACACTCTCTTCCCCGTTATGTTTGGATTACGTTGATTCAAGACGCTCGGTGCAGAGATGAGTCAACGTTTTAAACCGAATCGTGTGTGAGCCGCGGGGCCACAGGTTTAGAACTGTTTATAATCAGCTGCAAACTCATGTGGGCCAGGAGCAGGCGCTGAATCATTGGTGAAAAATCTCAATATTTGATTACAAAGTTCAGTGTGAGCAAGTCTATGGTGTCCTCTCCATCCTCTCAACACAAGAGCACAGAGAACACGTGCAAGACTGAAGGGGTTCTTGACAAACTGTGGAGAAAAGTTACATATTTTAACTTGAACCTTTTTAGATGTCTTTAGATTTTGAGATTTCCTCCAGGTGCTCCGGTTCCCCTACCACAAAAAAGCACGTACAATAGGTCTGGCATGCACCTCCTGTTCTCTCGACCTCACTCCCATTTCTGTGTGGAGTCAAATGACAAATGCGCCTAAAATAACAGTTGTAAAGCGCTTTGTGACTGGTCTGAGAAAGGCGCTACAGTATATATGTAAAAATTACCGACTTACCGGAAAATGTGGCTCATGTTTTACTTATTTCAATCCCAAACGACAAATTAACATATTTTGAATTCATCCCGCAAGTAAGTATTTTTATCAACATTAATATCATTGAAATAGTTCCTCCACTTAAAAGCAGCGAGTAAGATGGAAGAGGAAAGTTCAGGGGGGGTTGGTTTCTCGTTTCAGTCCAATCCACTTTATTGATATCGCACATTTCATCAGCACAGTTTCCAAAGTGCAGCACAACAAAAGACTAATTCAAACAAATCCATAATAAAACCGAAAAAACCATTAAATATCAAATAGGCTAAAGTCAAATCATAAATACACACTTACACATGTGTGCATAACGGTACATGACATAACAGTTAAACAGTCCGTCTCAGGGCAGCTGCGGCTACAGTACTAGTTTACATTGTACACAGTGATTGAAGAATGTCAAGTGGGGTGTCTATATGTGTCCGAAAAAGCAATATTTAAAACCAAATTATCATCATGTTGTTATTATTATGAAAATTAGCATTACTCAAGCTTTAGTGATTTGTTTCCTTATTCCAGCTGTATCCACTGCATCATCTGGACCCAGAGTCAGCAGGTTCAAGTCCGACAAGCGCATTATTGACCGACCCTTTTTTCTTGAGTCTAAAAATATGCCTGAGCGCCCTATCCATATTTTCATAAACTTTCTGCCTGATTACGAGTACACAGTTGAAACCAAACTGGCTGCGCTGGTCTGAGCCGCACATAAATAAGCAGTTTAAGAGTGGTAATTTGAGCGTAAACACATTTCTGTTGATAAAATAAATCCCAGGTTGTTGACGGTAAACAGGTGTAGATTCATAGATGCACATGTGAAGTGTTTGGGTTCAGACTGGGCACATACAGCGCAGCGAGGCCAAAGCATGAATGAACACATGAATGAGAGGCCGGTCTGTGCGCCGCTCACCAAAAAGAGACCATTCAGCTGCAGGGACCAGACCGAACTCTGGGTCCAGTTTATGAGACATCAGCATGGGACAAGTCTGCCGCCTGTACGCACATCACACATGTTCACTGTAAAAAGGCATGAAAAAGATGTCAAAAATCAACCAAATTTGTCAAAAAATGTGTCTTGATTTGAGCCACTAGAAAGCCACATTAGATACAAGTGAAAACAATGTAGGTTAAAGTAGCAATATGTAAGATTTTCATGTCCAGTCATCATTAAAGGGCCATAATCTGTCAAAAGGCATTAAAAAAACATGCTCTTTTCCAATACTTCTTTAACCAGCAACAGTAGTTCAAGGATATTGACATTTCATTAATTAGTTTTACAGCCCCTAAATGTTGCTGTTGTTTTAATTTTGATGTCCTGCCCTCCACCATTTTACCAATCAGAAAGTCAGTGATCCAGGTTGCCAGAACTCACCGCGTCAAGCTAATCTCACTGGTAAAGTACCATGTGGCACAGAACTAAAAAAGGTCTTGTTATGATTCTCAAATCATTAACGACAAAACAAGAAATGAAACCAGGATTTCTATCTTTGTGAAAAAGGTGTTGGTTATAGATTTGTTGTTGACAAAACTCTTGTCTATTCAGCTGTTATGATCCCAGCTGGATTCGTCTGCATATCTGGCAACCTGAGTCAGGGAGAGTGGGAGAGGCTGCAGTACCACCTTTGGCCACATTTTTACAGACTGCTCCTTTTAATTTACAAGCAGCTTCTTCTGAGAGGAAAGTTAGATATTTCAGCAGCAATCGTGTCTGGAATTATGTTTTTGTTTCATATTGTGGTAGATACCAAACAAAAAATAACATCTTCATAGCAACAAGTACAGCACCCACGCTAAAAACAGCTGTGCAACTTTAAACAATATCAAAAGTCTGAATTGAAATAACTTTTTACTCAAACGGTCCTGAATACTGCACTATTGTTGAAGTTAAATGACATGTTAGAAAAGTATTTACTTCTATACGCTCCTCCATCTCATGCATCTCCGGTGGTTATATACACGTTATTTTAAAGACAAACCTATTCTCGTCCATCCTCTTGTCAATCAATCAATCAACTCCACAAAAGGACATTCCTCGGTTGCCGTCACTTTGAAGCAGTTTGTCTTCCTCGCTCTAAATCCTGTGAATACGACACAGACGGATTTCAACACAAACCTCTCGCTCTCGTTCTGCCTCAGGCTCAGTCACGGCTTCTACAACGTCACCCAGATCTGTGTCTTTAAAGGGGACATGTTCAAAAAATGCATCAACATCGAGCATCAACATCTGGAGATGGGTTCCCAGGCGCTGTTACTATGGCAACCACTGCTCCTGACGTAAGCCTTAGTGGCATCAGGATCTGGGTCAAATGCAGAGGATGAATATTCCTACGTGGGACAATAAAGTGCATATTTTACTTGTACAAAAGCCAGTCTGAATACATTTGTTTTGAGCACTCGCATGGGGCTGCTGGTTCCAGAGTCTGGGTCCAGCGACTGAAAAGACCGATCCACTCGGTGTTTGGTCCTGGTCCTATAGGAACCAGAATGTTGAATTATTATGCTAAATGTTTATTCATTTTGGGATGATCTTGTTTCATAAGCGCTTCTTATACTGATGTTTGAACTTTTGTGGTGTGAATTCATCCTGTGTGGAGTGGACCTCATGAAGACTAGCAACCACTTGTGGACGCTAATGGGGATCCAAGCAAAGAAAGACAAAAACGCAACCCCTTCTGTCTAAAAGCTCCTGTCTCAGTTATTTAAGAAAACTAGGTCATTGTAGCACTATGACGTCCCGTTCAGGGCAGTTCTTTGTCTTTTCATACAAAATTACTGCCCATGAATTTGTTTTGGCATGCTAAATTGAAATTGGAATCTTTTAACCCAGTAATGTTCAAATTTGGGGTAAAAAAAAAAGTACTCCTCCCTCTGGTGGTAGCATAGGGGGTTACATCCAGAAAGCATTTTTACCCTTCATACTTGGTTCACCATATATTTTCTACTAATGTTTTTTTATTTCATTTTCAAAAACATGAAAGACAAAGTGAATAGTCTGATTATTATTGTTGATGGCCAAAAACACTGCATGACATTTCTTCTTTAAATATGACCAGAAACAACAACAAAAAGTAATTAATTATCATTCAAAAATACACACAAGTTTTTAAAAGTTAAACCTGTAGAATTTGTTCTTGTTTTTTTCTTGATAAAACATTAAGAATTTATAGAAATTAGATATATAGATAGATACTTTATTGATCCTGTAGCAGTATTGATATTGATATTTTAAGTGCAATGGTCCCATTTACTGTACGGTGAGTTAACAGGAAGGAAAAACAATTGTAACTTAGCGCCACATGTTCAGCAGATCACACATCCTCGACAGCGGCTCTAAACCATCCAAACCACAGCGTGTGGAGGTCAGTGGGACGCATTATGAGTGAACTGGGGCTGCATCCGGGCGGAGTGACCCGGGGACCCCTGTAACGTGCCTCCAGATGCAGGTCAGACCTCAAAGAAGACCCCTGCCCCGCATTTAAACCAGGGGCCATCGTGTTTTAATGAATCATGACACGTGCTAATGAGACTGGCTGTTACGGCCGAGATGTTCTGTGCGTACAAAGACCGAGGCCTGGAATACACGCCGACTGTAATCAGAGAACCAAACATGACTGCTGTTCGATTAGCAATCACAACTAGCATGGTTTGTCAGCTGAAATCCATCCACAAATACACGACAGATGAACCACTTCGGTCCAGTTATTTTTCCTCACTAATACTGTACAGCCGCACGCCACCAGATTAGAAATTAGAACGATTACTGTTCAAATTAGGCAGACAGATTAGCCAACATTCAGAACTAAACAAACCGATACATGTAACCTGGTTTATGTCTAAGTGAACAAAAATGACAGAACAATGTAATCAAGCAACTTACGAGAATCCAGATTCAAGATTTGTTGGAATTAGTCAATGACTGCATCAGAATTCATTAAAAAACGAATTTTCCTGTCCATTCCTTGCTTTTCCCTCTCATTTTTATTGACCTTTTGTGACGTAGAATTTGACCTGACTGGAGTTTAAAACATCTTAAAATGGTGTTAGATTTCACTTGACCAAACCTGAAGCTGCCTGTCCCATAAAAGCTTGATAATAAAACATAAGGAAGGACACAAAAGGAGGTAAGTTTGGTGAATTTGGATGCAACCTAATTCTGTCTAAAATAATGTGTTGATAATAGGTTCAATTGAGCAGTACCTATGATTAATTTGAGCCCATTTTTACTGGCTGTCTTAAAACAAGATTTGCCAATGGAACATGTGTAAAATCTCTTATTTTACTCAAATATGTTGGAAGGAAAATGAAACCCAAATTGAATTGGAATGAGACAAAAATGCTACTGCTTTTGAAGTAGAGGTATAAATACTTGTTCCATTGAAACATCTGGTTTTAAGACGCAAACATGGACTCAAAGAAAGATAAAATCTGCTCAATTCAAGAAATCATTAACATGTTTTCTTATCCAAGACACAAATGAAGTTAGTGGTCGCCGCTGTGTTCGCCGCTGTGTTGGCCGCCGTGGTCGCCGCAGTGGTCACGCAGTTGCCGCTGTGGTCGCCGCTGTGGTTGCTGCAGTGGTCGCCGCAGTGGTCATTGCAGTGGTTGGCGCGGTGGTCACCGCAGTGGTCGCTGCAGTGGTCGCCGCAGTGGTCGCCGCTGTGGTCGCCGCTGTGGTCGCCGCTGTGGTCGCCGCTGTGGTCGCCGCTGTGGTCGCTGCAGTGGTCACCGCAGTGGTTGGTGGTGGTCACCGCAGTGGTTGCCGCTGTGGTCGCCGCTGTGGTCGCCGCTGTGGTCGCCGCTGTGGTCGCCGTGGTGGTCGTCGCTGTGGTCGCCGCGGTGGTCGCCGCGGTGGTCACCGCAGCCGCAGTGGTCCGCCGCTGTGGTCGCCGCTGTGGTCGCCGCTGTGGTCGCCGCTGTGGTCGCCGCTGTGGTCGCTGCAGTGGTCACCGCAGTGGTTGCCGTGGTGGTCACCGCAGTGGTTGCCGCTGTGGTCGCCGCTGTGGTCGCCGCTGTGGTCGCCGCTGTGGTCGCCGTGGTGGTCGTCGCTGTGGTCGCCGCGGTGGTCGCCGCGGTGGTCGCCGCTGTGGTTGCTGCTGTGGTCGCCGCTGTGGTCGCCGCGGTGGTCGCCGTGGTGGTCGTCGCTGTGGTCGCCGCTGTGGTCGCCGCTGTGGTCGCCGCGGTGGTCGTCGCTGTGGTCGCCGCTGTGGTTGCTGCTGTGGTCGCCGCTGTGGTCGCCGCGGTGGTCGCCGTGGTGGTCGTCGCTGTGGTCGCCGCTGTGGTCGCCGCTGTGGTCGCCGCGGTGGTCGTCGCTGTGGTCGCCGCGGTGGTCGCCGTGGTGGTCGTCGCTGTGGTCGCCGCGGTGGTCGCCGTGGTGGTCGTTGCTGTGGTCGCCGCGGTGGTCGCCGCGGTGGTCGCCGCAGTGGTCGCCGCTGTGGTCGCTGCAGTGGTCGCCGTAGTGGTCGCTGCAGTGGTCGCCGTAGTGGTCGCCGCGGTGGTCGCTGCAGTGGTCGCCGTAGTGGTCGCCGCAGTGGTCGCCGCGGTGGTCGCCGTAGTGGTCGCCGTGGTACAGCACCCGGGGCCCATCTCCAGATGTTGATGCTGGACTTGGTCAGGATTACCAGAGCTGTTTAATGTAACGTTTGTACAACCAGAGGAAAACAGACACATGCAAAATTCTCTCAGAAAGACCCTGTTCCAGACTGGGATTCAAACCTAGGACCTTCTAGTTGCCGTCAATGTGGCCTATAGTCTACATCACTCATCTGTTTAGACGACCACTAACATTATAATCACACTGTCCTCATTTCATGCTGCTTTTAACTGTTTTTTAACTAAATGTGAGGTCTGTAAAAATGCACTCAATAACTAAAGATGATGAAAGATTTATGGGCGGCAGTAGCTCAGTTGGTAGAGCGTTGGCCTTTGAGCCAGAAGGTTGTGGGTTCAAGCCCCGCTCAAGACCTTCACCATCAACTCCCACTGACTACTGTCGTTGTGTCCTTGGCAAGACACTTAACCTCTGGGAACACCAGCCACAGTGGGGCGGCTGCGGCTGTAAAGTGCCAAACTGCTGTTGTGTCCTTAGGCAAGACACTTCACCCCCATTGCCTAGAATGAGTCTGGTGTGTGTGTGAATGGTTGGTGGTGGTCGGAGGGGCCGATGGCACATACTGGTTGCCTCGCTTCTGTCAGTGTGCCCCAGGGCAGCTGTGGCTACAGTAGTAGTTTATCACCACTGTGTATGGAGTGAATGAATAATGACACATGTGAAGCGTCTTTGAGTGTCCAAAAAAGCGCTATATAAAACCGATGCATTATTATTATTATTAAAGATTACTTACTACATATTTACAACACTGCAAAAAGTGGCTCCAAAAAACCATGAAAAATAGCTACTATTAGAGGAAGTCTACTTGTTTCCATCACAAATACTTTACCAGCGGATCATAATTTTTCCAAATTATTACTATCCTTACTATCTTCAGGCTGCGTGAGTAAAAAGAAGTTCAAAAACCGTGTGTTTAGATAAACACACTGAAATCAAGTGAACAGCACTAGTAAGTTTTCACTTTTTACAGTGAATATACTTTTTTCTCTTGGTGTACAGCGACATTGCGTGTCTAGAACATTTGAAATGTATTATTATTATTATTGTGCTCACAGAGAAATGTGTGCTCTGCATTTGACCCGTCTTTCAGGAAGTGTAGGTCAGGACTACACCTTGTTACTTATACTGTCACCGATGCTGCATGTCTGAGGTTAAATATTCCCAAAGACCGACAGCAAAGGCAGATGAATGAAAGTCGTCAATGACCCAGTTACTATTTCGCTGCAAGATATTTTTGTGCGTGAACAAAGCCAGATCAAAAGAGGATAAGGCCCGTGATGGATCTACACTATTAAGAACTGGACAGATCCAAATGTTCACCCATCGGCACAAATATGGTTCCTATGTTCTCGGAGCTCGCATTTCTATATTCACCATGTGGAGAGCGAGATCTGGCCACAAGATGTTTGATCCTGATGCTCCGACTTTTCCGTGTTGGTGTCCTACATTCATCATGAGTTTGATTGGGTGGTTTTCGATGCGCCAACGTTAATAACAGTTGAATTCTTAGGTCTATAGTTATTGATTCTTGCCCTAAGGCTTCGGAAAACACGATGGAATACTCTGCCAATCAGGAAATATGGTGTTTTAATGAAGAAAACAATGAAAATATTTGAATCAGGAAATGTGAAATGACTGTCTGATTAGAAGGAAACCCACAGTCAGTTTTGCAAATGTGTTGTGTACAGTTCAAGAATGCGTCACAGAAGAAGGGTCTGGTCTGATTAGGGCTTGGCAAACGGCCGCAGTGAAAAATGTAAAAAGTTCCTCATGTCTTCTGTATATTTAAGGCTCATTTGTGAGTCAGGGAAAAATAGGAGGCTCTTTAACGACACAAATTAGACCTATTTTTTAAGGTTGCAACTTGTCAATGCAGAGTTTGGATGATCGGTTTTGGTTGGTTGTTGTGTAAAAAACAGATTTGGGTGTGGATGAGAGCTTTTGCTATGAGTTGGTGTGAAGTTCCAGGCCACATCTGATGCTGGTCTAGCAAGTAGGCAAGGCAAGGCAAGCTTATTTGTATGGCACTATTCAGACACTCAAGCTGCTGAACAGAGAAGATAGAAACAATCACACAAGGCATTACAATAAATATATAAATAAATCCCTCAGCTGTATGCACGGAAAAACTGTTTTAATTCATTTACAAAACACATCTAGATTACAATACACAGCTAGTCCCTGAACTGAGGTAACGTTGTTGAAGCTAAACCTCACTAAAAAATTAGCACTTTCTGGATCACGCAAACCAATGCATACGCGGTTCTGGCTAATGCTGTACCCACAACTGCCCCGGCACAGATTGATTTTAAAATAAGAGAAAAACAAAGAACTAAAATGTGTCTATTAAGAGTATTATAGTATCAATACTTAATAAAGTGCTATGTCCTTTTAGTTACTGCTTTATGGACGTGTGTATGTTGTGTGTGGGCCCTAAGCTCCTCTCATACCACTCACTTATTCTATTTGTACAGGATAAACACGAGGACGGTTATATGTAATTAGAGAGACAGAGAGAGAGAGAGAGACAGAGAGAGAGAGAGAGAGACAGAGAGAGAGAGAGAGAGACAGAGAGAGAGAGAGAGACAGAGAGAGAGAGAGAGACAGAGAGAGAGAGAGAGAGAGAGAGAGAGAGAGAGAATGAGTCATCAAACCCCAAAGCGAGCGGCTGCTTTTGGGACTAAATAGAAAAAAAGAAGCAACATTTTCTTCAGGTCTGTGTGAAAATCTTCTGTTTTTTTTATTGAAGGACAGAATAAACCAAGAGTGATTTCAGCTTCATTCCACCTCAGAGAACATTTAGGTCGGCTTCATCACCCACTTCTTACACCGCCCCGACTTTAGCAAACTTTGCATGGATTTTAATCTGTAGCACTTTGAGGTTTCCTGTTGACATGTGATAATAAACATGTAATTATAGTTCTTGGTTCTATCACTAGTTTTCACGTGCACTGTACTTTTTTGCCCTCTGTCAAATCTTCAAATCAGCTTTTTGAGACAGAAAAGTGAAAAAGACCCTCACTCAGCCAATCAGCTCTCAGCCCAAAGCGTCAAATAGTGACTCACAGGGATCTTTCTTACAAAACATTACTCAAAACAAGAACATGTTTTATATTGAGATGAAAACAGACTTTTGCAAGATTTTTTCTCATGTGACAAACAACATGAAATATTGATTTAAAAAAAAGTTCTCCAGCTTTAAGTGGGAGACATAAATACCTTCAGCCACACTTCACTGTTCCGTCTTTTTCAGGGCTCCACAGACCAGGGATGTCAACCTCATTCTGGTCAGGGGCCGAATGAAAAGAACAAGAACAGGTCGGGGGCCCAAAGAATAGAAGGGATTTCCTCACATTATGGTTACATTAAGGTGTTTCGACATTACTTTAATGTGACATGGGTTTCACTTTTATTGTCTGGTTGATTTTCCTAAAAACAAAATGTGTTTATAGGTCAGATTTAACCAAAACTGGACCAGTTAAACACATTGTTTTATATTTAAAGGAGCAGTATGTCAAAATGTGGTCAGAAGTGGTACTGCAGCCTCTCCCACTCTCCCTGACTCAGGTTGCCAGATATAAAAACAAATCCAGCTGGGACCATAACAGCTGAATAGACAATAGACAACAACAATCTATAACCAGCACCTTTTTCACAAAGGCCTCGATTTAGAATCAAAATGAGACTTTTTTTAGTTCTGTGGCCACATGTTACTTTACCAGTGAAATTATGGCAACCCGTATGAAGAAGATTTAGGGGCTGTAAAACTAATTATGAAATCCAAATATCTCGGCTGAACTCATTTTATCAGTTAAAGAAGTATTGGAAAAGAGCGTGTTTTATTAATGCCTTTTGACAGATTAGAGCCCTTTAATGAAACAATGGACATGAAAATTGTACATATTGCTACTTTAACTATTTAAATCATGGTTGGTTGTTTTGGTGAGAGAATAGATAATGTATAACATGCCTTGGTCGCCCATAACCATTAATGCTGCAATATAATAATAATTGAAAATCCAATTGGGGGCCAGTAAAAATTGCCTGCTATGGACAAATAATTGACTCTGTGTCGTTTTTGAAATGACGAACTGCTTTAAAAACCACCGCTTTGTGTTTAAACTTGTCTTTTGACCTGTGCACATCCTGATCTGTGTGAACGCTGTGGAGTCATCGCTCGTGCCACATTCCTCCTTGTGCCCTTTTTTCGCCCGTGTGTGGTGAACGCCGGCCCGTGCTGCCCGTGCTGAGCGGCCCGTGCTGAGCGGCCCGTGCTGAGCGGCCCGTGCTGAGCTGCCCGTGCTGAGCTGCCCGAGCTGCCGCGCCTGCCCCGAGTTTAGGTCTGCAGCGAAGTGTCCGGGACCTGCTACATTTTACACGTGCGTCTCTCACACACCGAGCTGTCAAAGCGTCACTGTCACTTCCCTCTCACTGCAGACCGCCGCGGCCGCGCTCACGAAGGAAGCGGACGGTAAATAAGTCCTGGGAGCGCCACGGTTCATTTGTTTAGTGCAACATTCACCGGTCAACCTTCAATGTATCGGTCGTCTGCAGTTAAAAAACACTCAAACGCAACCAGGGAAATGCAGTTTTACTAGAATATTTTAGCTACATCTTGAAGGCCCTTGCTGCATGTGAAAGCTAGATCCTTTCAAACCTGTGAAGTTAAGTAGCAGGGTCTGGTTAGTGCTGTGATGGGAGACTTCTGGGAATACCATGGGTGCCACAGTGGGGCGTCTGCAGCTGTAAAATGCCAAATTCTTGTTGTGTCCTTAGGCAAGATTATTAGCCCACATTGCCTAGAATGAGTGTGTGTGAGTGTGTGTGTGTGCATGGTTGGCGGTGGGCAGCTGTGGCTACAATAGTAGTTCATCACCTCCTCATCACCTCTGAGTGAATGAATAATTACATGTGAAGCCTCTTTGAGAAAAAGACTTTAATTAAACCAATGCATTGTTATTATAATCATTATTATTATTATCATGATT